CCCGTTAAGATAATAAAACTTTGTGTTTTATTTGGGGAGGGCCATTGCCCATTTTTCCTATTTGTATTGCCACACTTTTCTTTTTTTCTAGGGGAAAAGGGGACCCAATGCCCGTTTTGCCATTAGAAGAGCTCAATGAAAGAACCCCGTTATTCCGGGGAGACCTGGAAGAAGTTCTAACGCCAAAAAGAAGAGAATTCCATTGCTCGGTTTTTTGCCGAATTTTTGGAAGAACCCCAATTGATTCTTAATTCCCTCAAATTTTGGGGAGGACCTTGGATGAAGAATTTTTGTCCAAGAGGTTTTGAAGGCGAATTTCATTTGTTTCCTATATTCCAAGGGAAGCTTCTGAGAAAAAACCTTGGAAGAAGAAGTATCTGAATTCGAGAGGCGTGTAGACTAACATCACACAACAACTGGATAGTGTAAAAAAATTACATATAGATCATGCATTACCATATGCTGATCTACAGGAGGTGAATATATATCCCACATCCGTATGAACCGAAGGTGGTTCAAATAAATAAAGCTTTATATGGTTAAAGCAAAGTCCGAAAGAATGGAATGATTACTTAAGAAAATATCTAAATAGTTGATCATTCTATGACTCGGAATATAAATCAAGTATCCATTTTCTAAAGATAGATTTACAGCTCGTAAACTAGAAAAACTATTAGAACAAGTTCGAAAGAACGTAACTGCTATAGAAAAAATATCTGGTTTATTTAATGTTACTGACATTTTAACAAAAAACAGTAACGCAAATTCAATTCAAGAAATTGTTTGAATGCTCGGAAAATAAGTTACACCCAGGAGACATTCTTCGTATAACTGAGCTAGGAGAATAAAAATCCAAGGACAAGAAGAAGATGTTGATGATCAGTTAAGAAGATCGTAAAAACATGTCTTTACGGAGGTGTGTCAGAATTATGAGGTAACACGTGATATATACGTATTACGACATTATTCATATAGGATAAAGAAATGTTACTTTACACGAAAGTGTTATTTCTGACGTTAAAACTTTTCCAACACTTTATATAAGAAATGACAAGATCTTAATTGACACTTGTCATGTTAATTATATTCCCATGTGTATATTATATACTTTAATACACCGGGATCAATATCAACTTATTAAGAATGTCCTTGGAAATAAATAAAGAATCTATTACTATGAATGATTCGGTAGAAAAACCACAACATAATTCTCTACACTTAAGGTTACTAGTTATAAGCTCTATGAGGTTAATTAACTATTATAATAACTATACAGTAGTGTAGAGAATCAGAGGGTTGTGGATTCTTTACAGAATCATTAATAGTAGTTGATTGTTTAGTTGTTTGCAAGGACATTTTTAATTAGATGATATTGATCCGGTGTATTAAAGTATAAAATATACACATGGGAATATAGTACATATGATAAGTGTCAATTAAGATCTTATCAGTCTTTATATACAATGTTTAGATATTATTCACACGTCAGAAGTAAATGCTTTCGTATTAGAAACATTTCTTTATCCCTTATTAATAATGATGTTTCATATAATTCTTCACCCTTATTAATATTGAATTAATGAGTATGACTTTACGTCATCTCATAATTTCTGACAAGTAGTATTAAATATATAAATATTTTTATCATTTTGTACTTAAGCGTAATCAATACATAAGTAAGAAATTTAGAATTATTTATATTAATAACTAGTAAGCACATTAATCCGACAATTCTCAAGAAATCACGGGCGTGTGGCGTAGTTGGTAGCGCGCTCCCTTAGCATGGGAGAGGTCTTCGGTTCGACTCCGGACTCGTCCATTTCTTTTTTGGTTTTTTAGGTGATATCGAAGTGTAAACTGCGAAAGGTTGTGGTTGCGATGAGTTTCGATTCGTACTCAACTGATTCTTTGAAAATAGGTTGAATTCAAGAATCTTTAACCTTTTTTTTCCAATTATTAACAGTTATATCTTAATATGAATAATGTCACTATGCCACTATATAACTAGCCTTTTTTTCACTTATCAATCTTAGTTTATAGAAACAATCAAAGAATATTGGCACATATGTTACCTCTTAATGATTAAACAATTTCAAGCGATAAAATTATTCCATAGAAGTGTTACTACAGTGTGTAATACATCCCATTTACCAACAATCTATGCGTTAGCAACACCTCCAGGACGCAAATCTGCTATTGCAGTGGTGAGAATATCTGGTGAACAGTCTAAATATATCTATCGTAAATTAACAGATGCTAAGACTGAACCTAAACCTAGATCAGCTTTGTTAAGAAATTTATACAATATTGAGAAATATAAGGATAAAAAAACCTTATTAGATAATGCACTAATATTCTTTTTTCAATCTCCAAAGTCTTTTACTGGTGAAGACTCTTTAGAGTTACACTTACATGGAGGTAAAGCAATCTGCAATGCGGTAATAAAAACAATTGAGACATTGCACAATAGAGATGAAGGCATAGAGATAAGACAAGCTCAGCCTGGTGAATTCTCTCAAAGAGCATTCCAGAATGGGAAGTATGATTTAACAGAAATTGAAGGCATTAAAGAAATTATTGATTCAGAAACTGAATCTCAAAGGCTGAGTGCCCTATCAAGTTTCATGGGTCAGAACAAAAAAATGTTCAATTCATGGAGGGAAAAAATAGTTGAAAACATTGCCCAATTAACCGCAATAATTGATTTTGGAGAAGATATCGACATTGAAGATACAGAGAAACTGTTTAATAGGATTGAAGCTAATATTATTGGTTTAGAGAGAGATGTACATACTTTTCTAAAAAGAGTTGAGAAGGCAAATATATTACAAGATGGTATTAGGATGACCTTAATTGGTGTTCCAAATACTGGTAAATCTTCACTAATTAACAAAATAACCAGCGATGAAATTTCCATTGTCAGTGATATACCTGGAACCACTCGAGATTCCATTGATGCAATAATTAACATAAATGGTTACAAAGTAATAATTAGTGATACAGCTGGAATCAGAAAAGATACAAACGAGAAGATCGAAGTCTTGGGGATAGAAAGGTCCAAAAAAATGGCCAGCAGAAGCGATATATGTCTTGTATTAATCGATCCAAACAATAAACCTTTATTGAGTAATGAAATCATAGACTTGTTACAAGCACCAGAAATCAAGAGAAAACACTTGAGGATAATCGTTAACAAAACTGATCTTATCAAAAATGAGAATATACTTGAAAATTTACAAGAGGAAATAGTAACGAAATATAACTTAAAAATTCCAATTAACTTCATATCATGTGCCACTGAATCAGGTATTGAAAAATTAATTTACGAATTGACTGATACATTTGACGATTTGTCTAATAAATCAGAAGATGGCAATCCAATAATAGTATCAGAAAGAGTAGTAGAAATACTGAAAAATGATGTTGTCTATGGCATTAATGAATTTAAGAATTTCAAAAATTACAACAACGATGTTGTAATGGCAACTGAGAGTCTGAAGTACGCAGCTGATGGGATAGGCAAAATCACAGGAGATACTGTGGGTGTTGATGAAGTACTAGGCTCTGTTTTTGCAAACTTCTGTGTTGGCAAGTAAGAAACTCCATGTAAATATTGTCATGTACATATACTTCTTTTGTAATATATATTCAACAGAAAAGCTGCAAAGATCAAACGTTATTAAAGTGCCTTGACCTCCTATTTTTTTCAATCTTCCTTTTAATCTCTATCTCAGATGTAAATTCTGTCAATTCATCCAAAAGTTTCTCATAATATTCAATTTTCCCTTCCAATTGATCTAGCATTTTCACATGATCCTCCTTCAATAATCTAAACGCCTCTAACTCCCCAGACTCTTTCAGTTCATACTTCCCAGATATCTCCGCCAGCCACCTCCCATTAGAATTGACCTTCGAGGAGAATATAGAAATGGCTTTCGCAGATTCCATATCAACATATTCCTGAGTCTTACTCAAACAGTGTTCGATCCCATTAGACAATTTTCTCTCTTGTTCCCTCATCCTATCTATATAAGCCTATAATCAAAATCAAAATAATAATACCCAAAGTCGTACCCGTAACCACAACAGATCTTCTTGCTGTATTCGAACAATAAACTTTCCAAGAAATCCAAGCTTTGCCTCTTTTATAATCAATCAGTTTCGAAAACCTTCTTGTCTTTTTAGTTTCGAAATCATCAATCAACTTAAAATCGAAGCCTCTAAATGTCTTAATTAGGTAAAACGTCGAATTTTTGATTTTTGATTTCGAATTCGAATTCGAAATGAAATTTGAAAAATTGTTTAATAATAAAAGTTGCAAAGCTTAAAACATTTATAATATAGATGTAGTTGCTTCTAGTTGGATCAATCTTTTATAATATAGGGTATATTGGTTAAGTTTGCTTGATATTGTGAATTAATCATATACATAGCAGGTAAATTTATTGAAGAAGGAGAAATAATATATATTTTTTCTTGATTGAGGAAGCAATTTCATTTTAAATAGTGTTTCTTTACTTTGCTGTTTGTTTAAACGATCTGTATAAGACGTTAGTAAGTGGAATCTCTCTATATATATTACGTTTGGGAGGGCAGCCATGGATTATAATGATGTTTCTAGTCGATTTGATTTTATGAAATCGACTACACGGTTCCCAATTAGTTGCATTTTTTTAAGTCAGTTTGATATGAAAAGGGGCAACGTTATTGTGTGGTCAAAGTTAAATGAAAATTGTAATATTAATCTTCAGGGTACTGAATTCAAGTCACTTCCTTCTGGAGTTCATGAAGTTTCAGATGATGTTATAAATTTTATTCTCCCTAAAGAAGAAACAAGTTCTCATGATCATTATTATGGAGTTGCATATTATAGACAAAATGGACAAGAAATTGTTAAAAAGGGTAAACAAGTTGATAGAAATGAAGTTAAAATGTATGCTTTAGGAATTCTAATTGATCCTAACCTTTCCTTAAAATGTTATCCAGATGATGAAATTTTCAGTAGTAGACACCATAAGTATATTAGTTGCAACGAATACGTTGGTGATTTAAAGAAATTGTTATCAGACTGGCTACAAAATGAAAAATATGATGATTTTTCAACTTTTGAGAGCTTCTATAACACAAATAAGAAAACTATTGTCAAAGCTGACGATGGTTCTAGTGGCTCTAAAACGATACGTTCAAGTGAATTGACTGATGATATTGAAGATACACCAGTTCCCATCGCTAATATTAACAATAAACTATTAATGTTAGAACACTTACCGTTTTGGATCAAAAAAATTGGTCCACTGATATTCCCACTGTGGAAATCTTGCCTATTAAATGAAAAAATTTTAATACTAAATCCACTTGGTGGCTCATTTGAACTTTGTAATTCATTAGTATATTGCATTTCATTGATTTCGTTGATACATAAGAAAAACATGAAGGCAAAGGATGAATACGATGATTTCATTAGTCCACTCTTTACCATTGGTGTTAATGATATAGATTTTCTGAACAAGGTGATAAAAGAAAGTGGCAATAGTGATTATCAAATGAGCAGTTTTGTTGCTTGTACAAGCGATGAAGTATTAGCATATAGACCAGAATTATATGACATTATGTTGAAATTACCACCAAATTTTATGAGTAATGATAACGACACATTGCCTAAATTAGTAAGGAATGATGGTGAAATTATTAAAGCAACCCCACACGAATTAGAAATTTACGAAAAATTAATGAATATAATAATGAATGAAAAGATTAGTCCATCACAAAGATCGAAATTAGAAAAACTAACAGAACCAGTATCGTGGGTGCAATATTTAATTGATGGTTTTTATCTCTGTACAACTGCAGGCTATTTAAAAGCTGCTTATCGTAATAAGTCAACCATGAGTTTTACAATGTTTTATGAGAATAATGATGAAAATGAAACAAAATTGAACGTAGTGCTAAATTTAATTAAATATTTCCATTTCAAAACTGTGATGTTACTTAATCAAGTACAGGCAATGATTGAATCTAACGAATGTCATAACTCTAGTGACGTTATACACACTTCACCTGTTTCACTGACCGAAATGGACCTGGATTGTTTTAGTGAACAAGACATCGACTTCGTAGAGAAATTAATAAGTAAGAGATTTAAAAGAAACTTGGTGGTTAATAATGGCGATTACTTTAGAGCTGCATGTTAAGTGTTTTAAGGGATCAATAAAATTTATGAATGATATATATGTAGATATTTAAAACGAATAATAATACTAATACTAATACTAATAATAATACAAATCATAATAATACTAATAGTAGTAGTAATAGTAGTAATAATAATAATAATAATATTTCGTAATATATTGTTTATGTAAAAAGAGAGTAAATAACCACCCAAAGGAAAATAAAGATGTGCTTTTTTTTGAAAAAAAACGACTGAAATGGAGTTGACAAAATGTCATTGAATAAAGGAAAGATTAAAAATTATGAAAAATGTTTGAGTGTACGTGTGTGTGTGGGAAGGGGGAAAATTTATGGAAAGATGTTGATCATACTATTAACCATAACCCACATGCAATGATGGAGATACCTATAATTGCAGTAATAATACCGGCACCCGCTCTTGAACCTGAAGTAATATTCAAAGGAGACAAGTTAGTAGGATGTTGTTCTGTACCTGCTGCACCATCACCGGTTGATGAACCACCGTTCGTACTGTTATAAGGTCCTGGGACATGTAATGCTCTTGTATTGATCATTACTTCTAACGCACACATTTGTTCACCTAAACCATAATAACCATCCCAACCACCATAGAACCAGTTGATACCACAGGTGTGCCCATCATAACCACCGGAACAAGATTGAGCAGCACCGTATGCAGAAGCGTTCATATATGTCATGATAGTATGTTGTGTATCTGGAACCAATTGAGCAGTCATACCTAAAAATCTTGAGAAGTAGGCTTTAAAAGTACGTTGATCTGTAGTACAGGTATGTACACCCTGACAAGCGGCTTCAAACATAACAGTACGGTTGAAAAAGACATAAGCATATTCCAAGAAACGTTCTGTTCTATTGTACCATTTTGCATCACCTGTATAATTGTATAGATATGCACAACCGGACAAGATTAAACCATGATTATAAGTCCATTGAAGATTTGTTACCTTTGTACAATTATCACCAATATTGACACCATCGTAAACGAAGGCACCCTTACCATCGTCTTCGATCAAATTGACACTTTCCATCCAGTCGTAGACCTTTTCAGCCCACTCAACATAGGAGTCATTACCTGTAAATCTTGCTAATCTAGCACCTATATGGAACAAAGCACCATTGGAGACGGAATTCTTATAATCGTAACCAGAGTTCCAAACGAAAATTTGCCATCTTAACCCACCGTTACAAGTTTGGTCATCCCAACGTAGAGCCATTGTATTGAAGACAGCTTGGGCTAAGTATAACCATTGTGGTCTGTCAGCAGGTGGGTTGGTGAAGTTTCTTTCAGCAGCGGACATGACAGCGATACCCCAGAAAGCTTGATCATCATTACCTTCTGTAGTGGATTGATTCAGTGGGACGTAATCGTTGTTTACACCGGTTTGATATTGTAAAGCTTGCATGATGATATCGTTATAGGTATCGTTTTGCATGTAATACCAATAATCGATCATTGTACCCCAAGCACCACCTGCTTCCCACCAGTAGTATGGGTTTGAGAACATACCGATGGTTTGACCATATTGTAGACCGTTGTAGTAATCCATAAGACCGTATGCGACTAAAGAAGTGGCATTTCTTAAGGAGTCCAAATTATTCAGATCCAGTTCTACAGCGTGGCCAGCACGAAACCACACTGTGCATAGTAAACTTATTAGCACTTTATGAAATAACATGATATTCCACTGTAAGTACTGTTCAATTTCTAAATGGGTATGAGTTTCTCCCTATAAGCACAGTATAAAATAAATATAGATAAATGTATATGTATAAGTGTGTTTGTATGGATATGCGTTTAAACTCAATATATATATATAATTTATTTCGAATCAAATCAATATTAAATCAAATCAGTTCAATCCAGTTCAAATCAATTCAATATGAATATAAATAAAATAATCAATATAACCTTTTCGAAGGTGAAATCCATCATTATTAGTGCAGCTACATCAAAATTTCACAATTATATTTCAAAAATATGTAGATATATATATAGTATCACGACCACTAGATTATTTTGCCAGTACAAACAAATTATAGGATTTCTTGCTTTTTTTTAATTTTTTTATTCCGCGCAAACTCCATTGGACATCACCCACGACGAGCACACTAAGTACGGTCAAAAAACAAACAGACATACATATACATAGACAGACATAGACAGACATAACATATATATACACGGTAGAACATTAAGGACTATTGAGAAATACGCATACGATCACGTGACACTCCAATTCCTATTCTTATTTTGTTGCTTGTTTTTTCTTTTTCCTTTTTCTCGTTCTCTTGCTTGCTTGCTCCTCCTTTAGCGTGTTGTTGTCGTCTTGTTGTGAAATCTGACTGGGAAGCAAAGCAACCCAAAAAGGGAACCTCAGACAGACAGACAGACAGCTTGCGCAAGTCGATGGGGGAGGAATAAGGCAACCAAGAAATTCAAGTTCAATTTCAAGTTCAGATTGAAATTGAAATTGAAATTGAAATTGAAATTGAAATTGCTCACATACCATATGGAGACGTGATTCTTTTTTTTGGTATGGGGCTAACAGAAGCAAATAAGCCACATTGGCCCAAGAAAAAGAAGAAAATCAAACTATTGAGATGAGTAAAAAAAACAAATGTAGATGACAACACAAACTAGAAAAAAGTATTTAAACTAAAGCCGGCGAACGTGGATGGGAGGGATGGAACAGATGCGAGAGAGAGAGAGAGAGAGAGAGAGAGAGAGAGTATTTATAGTCCCAAAGATGCGACAATAGAGCGTTTCACTTGGCGTTCGAACTCTGGGCGGTTATCTCTCCACAAAATGCAAGCGTCGATATTGGCGCCACTTTCCACATTGGGCTCGCTCAGCATGCTCATCACGCTCAGCAATATCTTTTCCACACTCTGAACAGGTGACCATCTCTCTTCCGCCAACTCGTACATGTTGGGGTCGTCGCCAGGGGAATGCAAGATCGAAATGCATACTTCGCCGTTGGGGTAGATGTTTGGATGCAATATGGCGGGAGTGAAGGTCAGAGTGGGTGGAGACAAGGGGTAGTCTCTTGGGAACCGGAGTTGTGCGTTGAACACACCGTGTTCGTATGGGGTATCTGGGGGACCTTGGATCAAACAGTCCCATAGAAACAGGTCGTTCTCGTTAGCTGGACCGGCTACTATTCCTGGTGGCGAATCGCGAATCAATTGCTGGTACTCTTTGAACAATCTTTTCTGGGCGGTCTTAGACATTATTACTGTTATTGTTATTCGTTTGTTCCGTTCCGTTCCGTTCTGTTCTGTTCTGTTATATTAAACTATCCAAGTTGATAACTAACGATATGATATGTTGCTCCGGGAATCAGGGGATATATTTGATTATAGAAAAAATATACTGTTGTAATTTTTTATTGTTGGGAAAAGAGAGAGAGAGGTGTTTTGAGAAAATATATATGTCACACAAAGACAATCCAATTTTTCCTTTCAACGTATGGGTAAGTCAATCTACAATACAATGCAATACAATGCAATGCTTTGGTATACTTACTAGAGTTATTTATTACTTATGTTGTGTTGTATTGGAATATCCCCTTTCCAAATGTTGTATTTTTTGAAGATGAATGGAATGTATACGATAATCTCTGCTTTATTTTTTTTGTTTAATTTTCTGATTTTTTTGATCTTTTTTTTTCCCTTCGTTTCGTCTCACTTGATTTTCTCGAACTTCAAACAACTGTTGTGTTTTTATAATTTCTATTAGCTGTGACTGTTTCTGCAGAAGGACATGCAATTCACTGTTGCGTGATCACGAGGATTATCCTTCCAACAAAAGGAAAGAACACACAGACACACAAACATAAAAGAATAATTCGTAATGCACTGGTTCATGCTGTGTTACCCGGGGGAATGAGTTGTACATGTATATTACACATACCAGCTCCGGGTTGGTGGGTGAAGGAAGAAATGACGCAGGAAGGCAGCAGATAACAAAAAGATTTATAACCTGCTATGACGCTCGCTTCTCGGTACGGTACTGCAGATTCTCCTAGTTATTGTTGCATGTGTGTGCATTTTGTCTGAGGATTACACCACAGATCTTGGCTGTTCCCGTAGGAAAATTCACAGAAGGAAAACGGAAAAAGGAAAGAAAAATTTATTCAATTGAATTGGATTGGTAATTAGCCAATTTTGTCACTTCAATTTCCAATCTCAATTTCACTTTAATTAATTAATTGGAAAAGCAAAGGCAACGGCAAAAAAAATAAAATTATTCAGTAATAAAAGATAATTCATAATTCATAATTCATAATTCATAATTAGAAATTGAGCTTTTCATTGTTACTATTGTGGTTTTTTGTTATCCTTATTTTTTGTCTTGTGGGAATAGGAAAGAAAGATAAGAAGAGATAAGAGACTAGAGACTAGGCACCAGAGACTAGAATAAATCAAGTAAGAGAGAGTCTAGATAGCAATCCGATGGGTAATGATTATCTATGAAGACGACAAATACGCGTGTGTATCATGTATTCGCGGTCATAGGTCGACCACATGCAGACATACTAACAGAATGTTAGTCAAGGTACGCACAAGAGGAAGACCTTCAGCGGTGGATATGAGGAAAGTGATCCTTGTGGACACCTCGTCAGAGGTCAGCTCTGTCTCCGGGTCCACCGAGATTAACCATAACAGCAAGGGTGGCAATAGTGCAGGGGGAAGTGGCGGCAGAAACAGTAGCAGTCCTATCAGCAATGGAGTCACCAGCCCTACTACCCCATCTTGTGGTGGGAAATCAATGATTTACAGCTCGAGCAGTGGCAGCGGCACTGGCAGCATAGATTTCCCCGACGAGTTCGGCGGCTCAGATATGGGATGTCCCGGAATGAATGTCCAACCAGTTCTGTTTCTTCGTGCAAAACGTAAACAGAATGCATTGCTTGTTAACGGTAAATTAAAGATCATCGTAGAGAATAATAATAACAACAACAACAGCAATAACAACAGCACCGTTGCTTCGGAAAATCATAATGGCGACTCTGAAGATGTCGAAGAATCAGAAGCTTCCAAGTTCAAATATGTGACAGAAAAGGAGTATTTACAAAAATACGGCACCGATGGAAACGCATCTATCACTAACAATAAGATATCTTCCACTGGCAAGATTCACACACACGATGGAGCCCATGAAGAGATTGATGGAATGCGCTTATGTTCTTGCAGGGAAGAACGCAGTACTAACAAAACTAAACCATCTCCAGGAGCAACCGGAGAAACTATGGGCGGCAACATTCACACAGGGTGTTGTACAACTGGTTCAACACCCACTGCTATACCTTCAACTGTACCTTCGGTAATACCTTCCATCTCAATGGAAAAAACGTTATCATTCACTACCCCATCCGCTTCTAACGATGTCCAAGAATCAGATCCCATTAGCGCTCCAATGTTGATGGCGTCATCTTCGAATTCGCCGGGGTTGGAGCCAACCGCAGTAGGATTTTTGGATTCATTGAAAGTTGAAGATCATGGATTAGGATTGGTTTCAAATGGTGACATACGATTGCCACCACCACATGCATTTGCAGTTCAGCCCAGTAACAATGGCCATCATATGCAGCAGCAACAACAACAAACTCATCAATTCGGAATAACGCAAGATCAATGCGTCGTCGATCTTCTGACACATCGTGGATTGTACCTAAGTTCTACATGCACATGTCCAGATGATAATTGCCGGTGCGTCAATTGTTTGGTCCATAGAAATGAAAATGAATTGAATAGTTATATACAAAAAAGTGGAGTACCGCTCACACATTTCGGCGAAGCACATCTTACCAATACAATGCTCGAAGATTGTTGCTATGGCTGCCAGTGTACGCCTGAAGATTGTCAATGTAATGATTGTTTAGTGCATGGTACTGAAATTTTATCATTTGATAAATTGTTATTCTATGGAATTTTAAACGTACCGCTAAGAAGAAAATCAATGATTAAATTCAAGAAAACTTTGATCCCATCAAAGTTCTGGTGGGATTTCCTAAAATTGCAAGTACCATTAATGACAGAACAACAGTTGGAGTCCCTAGATATGTTAAGTTGGTTCGAAAATATTATCGAGACTTACAAGGAGGATTTACAGAACTCTTCTGCTTATTCTTCTAGTTACATGCCACAAACAACTTCAATGTTTTCATAAATTGATTAAATAACAAGATTTAATGATGTCCAAAGTGGGACCCCACCACCCTCATGATATTTATTCATTTCCTTATCAGGTTTGTTAGTTCTAATTTAAACATTTTTGTGACGTTTTCATTTTGCAGGTTCTCATACCCCCCGCACACATTTTAAAATTAACCTTAACCTTAACATTTAATATGCAAGTGTGTGCGTATATGTGTGTGATTATCTCCAACTTTTTTAATATGCTTCATTTCCTTTCATGCCCTTTTTTTTCTCCATATTTTTAATAATTGATCACTCTTTTAGCACAAAATTAAAGCTTTGCTGTAAATATTTAACGATCCTTCCTTTCCCTCAATTTAATTTAATTTAATTTAGTATAAATATATCAATCATATTTTAACCAAATAATAATGTAGTAATTAATGACGCTTTTTCAATATTTCATTGAGATAACTAAAGCAACACTTCCAGTTACTAATTTGTTTTCTTAATTCGGTTCTGAGAGAGTTCTCTTTAAGCTTCTTCTCCGGAGGATGACAAAAGTCATCTTGTTTAAGAGAGTTACCCGGGCTGATCACGTGTATCGATGTATTTTCCAATCTTTCTACTAAATTTAACGCGTTTGAGACGCGTTAAATTTATTATTTAGAATTAATTAAATGTTTTGTAAAAGAGTTAGATGATGTGATTTATTATAGCTAGATTTATCTTATTATATACATTCAGTTATGCATATATATGATTCTACGGTTTATCAACATCAATTACTCTCCATATAATATATTATTTATATATATATATACATAAATAGATCCTCAGCAAAACAAGGTTAAGGCCTAATAGCAAAATAAGATGTTTAGACAATCAAGGAAAAGAATTGCTAATAGAAGAAATTTCGATTCCAATGAACTTAAATCAGATGGTTCTTCAACTCAATTAATTTTTAATTCAGGTTTATTAAATGAAGATGAACGTAAACTATATGAAAAAATTTATGACTCCAAGATTTCCTTCTACGAATTACCTCCTCAAGGTGAAATTACTTTGGATCAATTTGAAACTTGGGCAATTGATAGATTAAAAGTTTTATTAGAGATCGAATCTTGCATCTCAAGAAATAAATCAATCAAAGAAATCGAAATCATCATTAAACCTTTACTGCAAAAATATTTACCTTTGAATGCAGATTCCTTAGATGATAAAAAAAAGGATTATTACTCTCATTATATATTGAGATTATGTTTTTGTAGATCAAAGGAATTAAGAGATAAATTCGTAAGAGCTGAGACACTTTTATTTAAATTAAGATATACTATGTTGACATCAACAGATCAGTCAAAATTTGTAAATTCTTTAAATTTACCTTTATTGCAATTTATATCCCAAGAGGAAAAAAAAGAATTGTCACAACAATTATTTACAACTATCTCACCTGCATTACAATTTCAATTAAATTTAACTGATGATCAACAAAGAAGACAATTCTTTCAACAAGAAAAATTCATAAAATTACCTTTTGAAAATGTAATAGATTTAGTAGGTTCAAGACAAGTCTTCTTGAAAAACGGTTATGCTTATTTACCTCAATTTCAACAATTAAACTTGTTATCAACTGAATTCTCGAATAAACTTTCAGACGAATTAATGAAAACTTATCAATTCCTACCAAGATTGAACGAGGATGATAGATTGATACCCATCTTACATCACTTATCCTCCGGTTACTCTATTGCCGATTTCCAATCATCTCAACAATTTAATAGTTCCAATGAAGATAACGAAATTAACGCTAAATCCGTTTATTCAAAGGAAATATCAGAGTGCTACCCATTATGTGTGAAAAATCTAATGGATGGACTAAATGAAACACATCATTTGAGATATAATGGTCGTCAACAATTAAGTTTTTTCTTAAAGGGTATTGGATTAAGTTGCGATGAGGCAATGAATTTTTGGACAGATGCATTTACAACAAAAGGTGGACATTTAACTGTGGATAAATTTAATAAAGAATACAGATATAATTTCAGACATAATTATGGTTTAGAGGGTAATAGAATTAATTACAAACCCTGGGATTGTAGAACAATACTATCGAAACCAAGACCAGCAAGAGGTGAATTCCATGGTTGTCCTTACAGAGACTGGACAGAAGAAAAACTGTCATCTGAATTGAATAAACTAAATTTATCAAACCATGCAATTACAAGCGTTTTAGATTCTTGTAAGAAAAATGAATATACATTTGCATGTACAAAAGTTTTTGAAGAGACGCATCCTGGCATAGAAAACCAATCCAACGCAAGTGAGAATACTGATGCTTCAAGTCACATAGCACATCCTAACTTGTATTTCGATAGAGCAAGACAGTGGCAGAAGAAACACAAAAAAGATAATTAACTCAAAAGTTTAATATCCAGGAATAAAATGCTATGAAACATAGTTTAACTTAGTCAAGTGACATCACAATTTAGTTTAATTTGTATTAAGATATAGATAGAAGTTCTTAAATTCTTTTTATATTGATGTTAGAAATCATTGGGATGAGTTCCATTCTTAAGTAGAGACATTATGTAAAGCAAGATGATTCTGTCATCATCTTTTGTCTTGCCATAAGAATTCTCTGGAAGCTTATCAAAGTAGTCGAGACAAATTATATTTCCTATTATATCATAACTTTAGTGCCTATCGAAGCCAGTAAGTCTTACTGCGTTCAAAAAATTCTTAATAACATTAAAACTTCTTATAGGGTTCTACACTTAAGTTTAAAGACTATTTAATATTACGTATACTCGAAATCTATGTTTTTCCATTTTTAATATTATTGAGAAGCAAGATCGCAGACGCTTTTCTTGGCTGACTACACCTTGTTTTGACCAGATCAGTACTTATCTGGTCAATCAGAAGGAATATTATTTTATTTTGTACATGATAATAATTTAAGGTGTGACAATATGAACAAGTATCCACACACCAAACTGACACGTAGATATAATAGGGCCCTAAAATGTATTGAATCAATCAATCAATGAAAACTTCTTGTCAAATAAAAAAAGAACACATTCCTGAGAATTGTCCACTGCCACACTGATGGGAAAAACTGATTGATGGCAAGGGCTGATTTCTTTGAATTAAACGATGCCATCATAGCGTATTCATATCTTTCCTTTTATTGTAATAGTATAACCAGCAAAGAGGTTAAATTTAACAATGATTTCAGTATTGGATATGAAGTTTTTACCATTTGAAGGTTAGTGAACAACCTTGATCCCTTTTGGTCAATTCAAGTAAAAAAAAATATGATGAAATACGTGTCTTAGAGATCGAGTCATTATTTGTTGTGCCGAAACTGTTACACATTGGGAATGATTTAAAGTAGCATACAAGCATTCAAGCATACAACCTAATTTTGATACATCTTTAAGTTTGTGAAAGAGGTTTAAAGAATATATCACAAGATAATGCGCAAGATGAACATCAACTAAATCCTCCTTAAAGATGGAATCTCGTTTTTATTCTTTGGAATATTCCAATTTCTTATACAAGTTTCCACGTATAACCGTAGATTTTACTGACACATAATATAATTGCTTTCACCTCACTCAATTAAATGAAGATATTATCAGTTGAGAAGTAGTGATTATAATATGTTTGCCTAAGGGACATGTCGCTTTCAAAATCTGTCTCATCTCTTAGCAACTATTAACTGGCATAAGTCAAGAAGTTTACTTGAAAACAAAAAGGAAAACTTGATTTCGCATATTCTTTTTAAAAAAAAGGATGCAAATGGGACATTTAGCTTCGTTTCGAATCTTCGCGATTGAAAAATTAACTTCCAAACAGCTTAGTCAAAGAGAACCAAAAAAAAAACATACAAGGTAGTGAAAACAAAGAGAAGATGGATACCATCCAAATAATAAAATATTATGTTTTTGGGACAAAATAGTACTAAAACTTCTAAATGAAGGTTGCCTGTCCGAATTTAAAATAGTCGATTTATCCTCTTGTTCAATTGTCTTGCTTTACGTTGAGATATTCTCATGAAATAATTTGTGATATTCTAAACGCAGTACGCAATCTTAGCTAAATATCATCTCATCAATGAGAACTTCTTCAATCGGTTTACTACAGTTCATTCAACATATGCTGAATGCTAGAAATGAAAACTTAAACCTTTGAAAATGACGAGAACAAATTCGTGCACATATCTTTCTTTACACCTCTATAAGCCTTGCAAAATAGCCTTAGGCTTGACAAAATCAAACAATAATATTTTGAAAACAATATTGAAGTAGACAAAATCATCGCTATCCTTCTTTTGTCCAATCACTACTTCGAACATTTGTATGTATCCCAAAATAAGAGTTCACGTAACCTTTGGGGTTCAGAATATAGGATGACAACGATATTTAGAGGCTACAAAGTTCTAATAATCCACTGTATAATAACAAATATCATAAAATTGTACAATTCTTTCTGATTGTTTTAGTATTCCGCTTTCGAAGATTTCTGAATAAGGTAGAGATTTCGTCCAGTAATCAAAACTTTCTTCTCCATCTCTTTCTATTTTAATTTCAAAAAATATTCGATATTGGAAGCAATACTAGTTGTATAAAACTTCCTAGTAGTTAAATTTTTTTCAGTATGAAAAATTTTTGTTTCGAAACAACATTTCATTTGGAAGGACATTAATAAGAAACTGACGTACATCTTGCCGTTTCTTAAACTAGCAATCATGGCTAACGCTTTTTATTGTATAACAATTTTATAGCGGTTGGTAAATGAAGTTTCCAAGATCATCATGTACACCAAAATTTAGATTACCATTTAGGAGATGCCTGTCAACTTGTAATCTGAAATAAAAAAAAATGGTGACTGGTACAAAACTTAGTTTTGTTCTATTCTGTGTTGTTTAGTCTTTTGATCATCCAGTATTAAAGCTCAATCATTTATTTAATATATACATTTTCAGTAGTGCTACAACCCAAAACAATCTAAGAAACTGTTGTAGTGAGTACTTGATGAACGCACAGGGTATCAATTGATTACTACTGTCTCTTATTCTGCTTACACTTACTTTGAAGATAGTGGTACCTATTATAGGATAAGCAAGTTTTTGACTAGATTGGGTGAAAGGCACTACGTAATGCCAGAGACGTCTAAATTGTTCACTGCCTATGTTCTCTAGTACTTCTTTAAATTTTCTTTTCTTTTGGAAAAAAAGAAAATTGAAAAGAGAAGAACCAACCAATTGAGGCAACAAAGACATTCAAAAACCAGTAGCAATGGTTATGATAACAAATATAATGATAATAATGTTAGCAATAATAGCAATAATATTAAGAATAAAATTAGAGAGCAATATCCACAATAACTAATGGATTAAAAAAAAAAAATTATTTTTTTTTCTCCCAAAAACGTTTGGCACTGCATACTTGTTGGCTATTATTAAGGCGTTTAAGAAATTATCTTATTCCTTGTTTGGGAGAATAGTGTAAGTAAAGTTTTAGAGAAGAATCCGAAACAGAGCACGCAACGAATCCATTTGTTCCTAAAAAATGATCCAATTAGTTAATGTGTCGTTGCTGTCTGTCACCCAGTGAACAACATCGTTAAACCTTTTTCCATGTTCCGTATTAAAAATTTTGTTTGTAAAGAGTATTTCGAATTTCTAAAAAAAACAATCGGAAATAGTGCCTTCAAAATAATTATAGTTGCATAAACAATCCTTTAATATTCTTAAATACCCTCGGAGAACCCCATTATTACCAAGTACTAGTTTCGGTTTAATATTTACCGAAGTAGATTCTTGAGTTTCGAACTGCTAAAACTATTCCACTGCTACCAGAAAACTCTTGGAAAGAAAAAAAAACAAGATAAAAAGAAAATGATTTTAACGTTATGCTATTAGTTTTCTTCTTGCTCTTCTCTTTTCTAGTCTATATTCCTTCCTTTCCAGATGTATTTTCTGTTCAGTAATATTTAAAGAATGATAGTTGCTTGGAAGAGAAGAGCAGAGAAGAGAAGAGCAGGGCAGAGCAGATCATACTAATACTTGCGAGTTTTGATTACCGTCTCAATATAATTCTATACACCCTGCCCTCCTTCCGTTACTCAAGGTATATATGTTGTAATTTCCCAAGTTTCACATCACAGAAAAAATCTTTGGCAAAGCATCTAGGAATTTTATCTGTACAACCAATCATACCAATTTCTATTCTAAAATTCTTGGAGGTATTAAGTATCATAATTTAAAATGAAACTTTCCTTTCCTCAATTACTATTAGGGCTATTTTGTTTTTAAGCTAAGCTTAATAACAAAAACCATGTGGTGGTACCAATTGGAATGATCCCTTCTAAAATTGGTGCTACTATTTCCTCAGTCGAATAACCAAGTAATACCAATGTATTATTTGATCATTGAATGTTTTTTGTTGTGGACGATGATTAGGACGTAGGTTCTTAGTATTTCAGAAAATTGTTAAAATGTTACGTAGAATATTTTCATGGTTACCACGTCAAGTGGAAGTTTAGTCAAATATTCGTACTAATCTTATAGTAACTGGATAAATTCGTATGAATCTTTTTAATACATTTTGAGGTTTAAACTCAGTATCAACAATTCTACCTTTTAAACATATTTCAAATCTAGTTTTTTTTTTAATTGGAAGTCATGAATTTTATTACCAAATTTAATACATTTATTCAATCAATTCTTTCTGTTTGGATGTTTGAGAAAACTTGTACTTCATTCTGCTTTGTTATCATATTCCAATTTTTATTTACGTCTTTCAGTTTTTGTTGTTCTAATTATCACTATTAATTATTATTTTATGTTTTAATAAAATAAAATAAAATTAATTTAATTTAATTTAGTTATAGCAATCCAGTGGTCTATTATACCTAAGCATCTCTGCAATGTCATCGTATTTTCTTAGTTCGACGTTTACATTAGTTTTTTTTCCCATTTTTACTGCTGTTTTCACTTCTACCATTACTTTTGTTCGTACTTTCGAACTAGTGTTCTTTTGATATTCTGCATATTGTCTCAATTGACAAATTAATGCAACCCTTCTCTTACAACCATGTCAGTAGTTGTTAATGTTGTAAATATCGTTGCTGGTATAACACAGGGCCTATTAGGACCTTGGCTAAGGAACTCCAGTAATAGGCTATTGAATAATGATAGAACAAATGTAAAGGATAACGTTTTTTTTTTTTTGGTTTGGTTTTATTTCTGTTTTCTTGTCTCTTAACTTGTTATAGGAAGTTAATTACAAATCTTGACTCTCTGTTTGTCTAACTATCCTTCAGTCGAAGTTGTGATTGATTGGATTGGTATATTATGGATGGGATGGGATGGTATTGTAATAGAGACAAAAAATTTGAATGTGTCATAACTCAAAAATTGTTGCCCCCTTTCTTAGATTGCTAGGGACTATTAACTCTATATCCTATTTGTATCTTTTGCTAGATGAATCCAGATAACATAAATTTAAAGTAGTTACGTTAACTTTGTAGTAGGAAGTTCAACATTATAGTATCAGATATGGCAGTGCAATCGTAGTGATGATAATAATAACGGTAACATGAGTGTGTTTGAACCTATTGCATAGCTGAGTTCAGTGTTGTGTTCATAGACATTTTTGTAGCATACTTATTAGTTTTAAGTAATAGGTAATTAAAAGAAGGAAACCACTCTAGTAAAATTAAGTTGAACTTGCTATTATTGCTTCTAACAGAGAGAATTATGAATTGTTTTAGTGAAAAAATTTGGACATTTTCAGTATTTTAATGCAAAACCCATATATTAATATCGATCTTTATTTAGATGTTATGTTGTACAGAGTTTTTTCTCATTAAAGGTTTAATTAAATTTTAAATTAGTTTCGTTTCCAGCCAACATTATTCCTATTGCTATTGTTATTGTAATCGATATTGTCATGAATATTCTTATTTAATTTTTATAATATAAATAAGTTTTGATTTATATATATAATCAATTTGTCAAAATCTGTATAATAACTAAAGGTCATTAAATCGAGAATTATAAAATTTTTCTAGGACATATTATTGTTGTTGATTTAAAGGTATACAAATTTAGGATTATTATGTTTCTCATTTGAATAATATATTACAATTTTTTTTATATTTTTTATTTATTTCAAAATATACACATAAACCAAGGATAAGATTTTAACCCCAGGTTAAAAAACTGTCGATCATATCATTTTTATCATTGTACTATAATAATATTCGTCGAGAATATTATTTTGTAATATTATATTATTATTGTATTGTTATTAACAAGCAAAACGTTTGGGATATAGCAATTAGTCAGACAGGCAGACAGACGGACACATACATACATACAAACATATCTCTGAATATTATATGATTAAGAAGAAAAGGAAAATATTATGAATAATCAAAATTTTAATTATAATTCAATACAGTATTTAAATCAAACCGGAGGTGAACTACGTCGAGATTCAAATAATGGTGACGAAACTAATAATACTTCAAATATAATGAATTATCAGTACCCTGGAGGTAATGAATTAATATCACGACAATACAGAGCACCGGTTTCACTGCCGGCTTCCGGTGGTGTTGGAGTTGCACCTCATCAGCAAGCACTGCCGACAACAGCATTGCAAAACCCACCGCAGTATACAAATAATTATACACAAACATCAAATATACAATACTATTATCCGACCAATGCAATGCAACAGCAACAACAACAGCAACAACAGCAACAACAGCAACAGCAACAGCAACAACAGCAGGCTATCAATGGTATACCCAGTTATCCATATGGCACTAATATACCGAAATCTATATCCCCAACTAGTACACCTTACCCAATACAACAAGGGTACAATCCATATCCAGATACGTTTTTGAAAGAGAGTTCAAGAATCAATAATATAGTACCTAGCAATTACCAATATCCTGGCTTTCAACAGTACAACACTGGTGGTAACATCACAAGACCGATGTTGCGCCAGAGTTCAGCAAATGCGATATACAGTAGCACTACGACCCCCATGTATCCATATAGTGGCGGTAATGGGAGTAGTAGTAGTGGTGGTAGTTTCAAGAATGGTGAGAACAGTGAATTTTTCATGAACAATGGATTGAACAATTTATCTACTATGATATGGGAAGATGAAGATACGATATGTTACCAAGTGGTAGTCAATGGAATAACAGTTTTGCGTCGGGATGACAACAATATGATCAATGGGACCAAGCTGTTGAATGTGACCAAGATGACACGAGGACGTCGAGACAGGATATTGAGAGCCGAGAAGATTCGACATGTGGTTAAGATAGGGTCTATGCATTTAAAGGGGGTTTGGATTCCGTTGGAGAGGGCTAAGAGGATGGCACAGATGGAGAATATATATAATAAGTTGTATCCATTATTTGTTTCTGATATCCAGTCGGTGATCCGACAGTATCAAAGGGCTAGTGCTGGGGGAGTAGGCGTGAGTCCGGCCGGTGTGATGCAGCCTGGACTTGGACTGTCATCTGCGACAGTGGTGGAATACGGTGAAGATAGCGAGCATACGAATGTCGATAACGATAATAACGAAACCAATCATAGTCATAATAATACTAATAATATTAATATTAATCATAATAATAATCATAATCATAATCATAATCAAACTAATACAAATAATAATCATAATCATACTAATAATCATACTAATACTAATACTAATACTAATACAAATACTAATACTAATACTAATACTAATAATACTAATCATAATACAAACACTAATATAAATCATAATCATAATCATAATACTAATCATAATCATAATAGTAGTAGCACTAGCACCAGCACTCATACTCATACTCATACTCATACTCATGCTGATACCAGTCAGAAAGACATTGATCGTACCGCGTATACGACAGTGTCTCAGCAGCACCCGATACAACTGCCCCCACCACCCGAACCACATTACTAAGACCGGTTGCTGCCTCTGCCTCTGCCTCTGCTACTCCCGCCGTACAACAGCACAACAAATGAGACGAAGCGATATATGTCATTGTGTGTAATATAACTCAGTTATGATATGTTATACTATGTATGTAATTATAATTATATGTAGATGTGTACATCTCGA